CAGCATGGGTGGCGCCACCCTGGTCGACGAGGCCGGCTACACCTACTCCGTCCCGCCGTTGGCCGCACTCGCCCCCGCAAGGACACCGGAGAAGCCGACGTACTCCCGCACGAAGAGCATGCCGCTCTCCCCCACCACCGCACCGCTGAAGAAGTCGCGGTCGCAGAGCCGGCTCCTCGAGGTCCCGGAGAGCATCAGCCCCAGCAGCAGCAACCCGAGCCTGCACAGCGTCGCGGGCTCGCTGCAGGAAGACTCGCGGGGGCGGCCCTCGCGTAAGCCGAGCTTCAGGCGGCGGCTCACCGACAGCTTCCGGGCGAACAACGTCTCCACGGACTCGCGACATCGTCGATCACCTTCTCTGCCCACTAACGTTTGCTACGGCGTCGCCCCCTCTCCCTCTCCGACTAAATCGTCTTTCACACCACCATCGGCCCCTCCAGGCAGGAAACGGGCGAGCGGTGGCCCCGTACTCCCACTATACCAATGCCGCGTTATTCACCCATGTGAACCACCACCAGGCGTGTCATATCGCGAACTGCCGTTCTTCACGCTTCGTCTGGGCGACATTTACGACATCCTCAAGGAGGTCGGGCACCCGTCGACACATCGCGACCTGCCATTGTACGTCGACGACGGCGAGGACTGCCTCCTACTCGCGCGCGACGAGCTAGGAGGTATCGGATGGGTGCTCGCGAGTTTCTTGCTACCCGTGGACTAGACCCCACAGACGGTCCGGACTGGAGAGTTCTCACACCTCGGGTCTATTCCTCACGCATGTACCATCGCCATTTTCTCGCTTGTCACATGCTCACGCTTCTTGTATATCCCCCCATCCGCGGAGGCTCCAGTATGTCTTGCTGTTTTCAGTGTGTACGTCGAGCCGGCGATGGACCCTTTCTCTTCCGGATTCCGGAGTCACCTCGTGCTGTGTTGTATCACCATATATCCCACCCATTTAGTTACCCATTTAGTGCTATACTGCTTAGTCTCTCACACGTGTAGGTAGACGTACGACATGCAATGCAAACCACCACAGGCCGATCCTCGTTCTCGCACCGCACCATAGCCTCGCGGAGGCCATCTCATTCCAACTCAATTAGCACAGGACCTGCGGGTTGCAGTAGCAATACACCAAGCAATGCAAATCACGGTGATGGGGGTTCGTTTGCAAGGAGCTCCACGGGCTGTCCGTCCTTGTCCAACGGCCAAAAGTTGTTCTTGAAGAGGCAGTTCGGGTCGTACTTGCGCTTCAAAGCCGCCAGGCGGTCCCAGTTCTTCCCGTAGCACGCCATCGTGCGCGACGGAGACTCGTGTCGCCCCAGAAACTAGCGTCATATATGTCACGCCACGCAGTCAGCGACCCTGCCCAGTTACGTAGCGCAGACCACTTACAGTCGGGTATGGTCCGCCCACGGCCACTTGCTTGATGGTCCCGTCCATCCACTAGCAATGCGTAGCACCGCGTCAACATCGACGGCATAGTGACGGGTGCGCCGCAGAGCTCACCTGCTCGGCTGTGGTGATGCAGCGCGGGTCGTCGATGCCCATGTCCCACTGGTGGAACGCAGCGACGGTCCACGTCGCCTCGCGCTGCTCCTTTGGCAGGCAGTTGTCCTCGAAGTCTCCAATCGCACCGCCCGCGAGCTCGAACAGCCACGCTGCGCGCCGCGGGGGAATTCGAACTCTGGGGTGAGCCCACTGAATGCGCGCAGGAGGGGAGGGAAAGAGCGACTTACTGCAGCCGATGGGCGTGTCTGCGAACTCGAGCACGGTCCTGTTGATGACCTCGTCCGGGAGGGTCGTGATGAGCGCTGAGCGGAGAAACCACTGCCTCCCGGCTGGTCACCCGGGCAGCACGGTGAGCCTGCGCGCACGTACACCCACGGCAGCGGCCCCTGCGGATGACGTACCTTTCCCGCGGAGCACCTGCGCGACGCTGTCCTGCTGCTTCAGGAAGCTCTTCTCGTTGACCTCGTTCAGGAGGCAGCGCTCGCCGTCCCAGCTCGAGATCGCCTGGAGGTACTCCATGCCCTTCTCCCGGGGGCCGACGTAGCACATCTGGATGACCACGAGCGAGTCCTTGTCCGCGGGCCCGGCGGTGAGCAGCACGTTCGCGTACAGCTCGCGCGGCGCGTTCTTGATGCAGTCGCGGAAGTGCTTGATGAGCGAGGGCGCCGTCGCGCGGTGGAAACGGCTTGGTGCGTGCCGGTTGAACGTCGTGCATTGAGTGACCAAGGAAGAGCGTACTTACTATATGAGGTTTCCCGCGAAAACGACCGGTACGGGGAACGCGCGGGCTTTGTATCGCGTCGCTATGCCGAATGCAGGCCCGGCGCCCCGGATAGCCCACCAGAGCTCTGCACAGCATGCAGTGAGTGACCCCCGTTGAACAACATGGTTTCCACTGTGGCAGACTCACCGGGATCCTCCTCAGCATTTACGACGACAATTCGCCCGTCTGCGAGGACCATCTCGACCTCAACGACGTTGTCGATGCTAAGGCCGTACATCCTGCTGATAAACCCAAAGCCGGCCAACAGCATGATTGACGACCCCACAGGATGCGCAGACCTGCCTAAGCGTCAACCCCTGCTTCGTGGAGGGAAAGGGGGAGGGTTATGACACTAGCAGGTCACCCACATAGGTATATGATAAGGCACGCTCGCCTCCTCCCTGTCCCCCGTCACCGTATTCGTGCCCACCAATGGGTGGTCCGCGGTATACTGGTCGATCTCCCTCTGCCGCATCCCCGCGCCAAAGGTTACATACGCGTGCGGATGCACGGGCTTGGAATACTGGACTGTGCCTAGGCTCCCCGTACGCGCTTCGAGGGCCGCCCCGAACAACGACGGGAGACCAAGTGCCCCGGAGATAGGCGGGAATGGCTGGCCGGGGACCATCGAAAGCGGCATGGGGAGCGAAGCCAGGCTGGTAGGCATCCGGAACCCGGGCCCGAGGGCGGGGTTCCAGGGGGTGACGCCCGACGACGCACCACCCGCCGCCAGAGATAAGGACCAGTTCTGTATTGAGGTCACCCCGGAAGGTGCAGCTGAAGCGGCCGACGAGCTGCCTTGCCCTGCGGGTAACCCAAACATAGGAAGGCGGGGCGTAGGCGTACTTCCCGAAGACATGTACGCGAACGGCTCCCGCATGTCGGCAGCCAAGTCCTGGTCTTTGTCGTCCGAAGGGGACGCTGCGGCGGTGGTGTCGGATGACTGAGAAACATGGGTTTCGAATCCGAAGGCGGATGGCCGTGAGCTTACGCTCGAGGATGTCGATTCGCCGGAGAGCTGCCGTGTGTTCTCACTGAGAGGCGGCACAGGTAGAGGCGTAATATGCGAGAGCGGAGCCCCCGCAGCTGGAACAGAAGGCGCCCCCTCCACACTTGGCTCCTCAGGCTCCGGGGAGTGCAAACGCTGTCGGTTGGTCGGTGGCTGCCTTGGTGTCTCTCCGGGATCTGGGGGAAGAGGTGGGCCTCGCAGAAAGGAGGCAACGGCGGTTAACCCGCCGTCGAAAGATCCCCCAGCGGTGGTCGATGCTGCCTGCCCAGGCTCTGCCGAAGGCGAGCGCTCATCTCTCCGGCGCTTATTGGATCGATGGGGAGTGTCCGAGGAGACCATCGGCGGAGGAGAGGCTGGGGCGCGGCCCTTGCCTTTGCTTCCGAGGGGTGGCATGTCCCGCAAACGCGTCCAGTCGACATCGCCGCTACCTTCTGCGACAGTCAGCGGCGGCTCGATGTCGATGTCGGTCATCATGCTCATGTCGACGATGATGTCGCCGGCGACGGCCCATCCGGCGATGCCGTAGCCTCCAGCGCGAACGGAGGGGGAGAACCCGTACTTGGAACAGAATTTGACCGCGGCGCTGACGTCGTCGGCATCGAGCGGGGAGACGAGGGCGCATGCACGAGGTTTGAGCTTCCCGTTGAACGTCCGTGAACGGTCTGTGTACCTTTCGGGAAGGAGTATTAGTCGAGAGCTCGATGTAAGGTTGGAGAGGCCTACTCGAAATCACCGGGACGAAGGACGCGTCCTCTGACGGACTGGGCAAGCTCGTTGAAGTGTTCATCCGAGAACGGCTGTACAAGCCTCAATTTCAGTTCTGGGGGGCGTGGCGGGTCCATCTCGATCGGGAAACAGGGTTTTCAGGAATTTATTGGGGAGGATAACCGTGAGTGAGTTGGATTGGTCGCCAATCGATACTTGCGAATAATACGAGCACGAGTAAGCCCTTGAGTAAGGCTGTGCCCCTCCGTGCTCTGCAGTAAACCCCGGAGCGTCCGACAAGATGACTAGGGAAACGGGAGATCGAGTCGACCGCTACGGCGTTGTGAAATAAAGTAGCGAAGCTATTGCCCTTCTTATAGGGGATTCGGTTGCAGGTCGGCCTGAGAGAGGCTGATAGGAGCTGTCAATAGCGGGTCTGCCGTAAATAGACAATCAGTTTTACGCAGCAGCTTGCACATGAAGGAGAGCCTCGCGCCGTACGCGACAGCCTTGGCGATGGCACTGAAGTATGGAGGAGGTAAGAGAAGAAAGCGGATGGGGTCAGATGTCTCGTTACAGCCTCGTTCCACCGTGTGATCACGAACTTTGTACCTGCCGCTCGTGCTTCGGGACCGGCGGTTGAAGGCGTCCTGGAATTGATGGTACTCACTATTTAGTTAGTGTACCGCAGAATGGTGCGAAGGAGACGGGAGGCGCAAAGGCTGGCGGCTCGGCAACGGAAGCGGGGCAGGACCACTTCCAAAACCTGCCACTCGGATGCAGAACTTCTCTGCTGCGGCCGGATCTTCTCTGTCAATATTCCAGCGGCTCACCTTAATTTTTTCAGTAAACTTTCGGGGTAACACTTGAAGGGGACCTAGGCAATGTCGACCCTCGGAGGAGTTAGAGTAGTTCGAAGCGAAGTTGCCACCGTGTATACTTGCGTCCCCAGTCATCAACAACAAGCAAAGGATGTTGACACGATTGTATCATGCTGCTTGTACGTGATACCACGGGCACATGGTGTAGTTGGTTATCACATCCGCTTAGCACTGCTTCCGAGCATGTGAAGATGCGGGGGGTGCTGGGTTCAATTCCCAGTGTGTCCACATTTTTCTCCGCAGAAATTCTGAAACGCACGTCGCTCTTGGGCAGGACTGAATTCAAGACCTTTCAATACACAATGTTCAAGCACAGGGTCGGGCCCCCTCGTGGCGAATCACAACGCGGCGCACAAGGTTAGGCTCACAGTAGTGGTCGTTATATGGTCGGGCCGTTATATTAATGGTATCGGTTACGGTTAGAACAAAGCATCAATACGGGAGTCCGAAAATTCTTAGCCCACGTGGCGTGCCGGCTTGTCTCACTCGTCCAAGTTCAATCCACCCTGCGAGGTTTACCTGGTACGAGAGCCCATAACCCAACCATCAAGCCCATCATAGTAACTAAGCTATCATGGGTAGACAGTCAGTGTACAACAGGCATACATTATAGAATGAAGAGCGCTCACAGAGGTTGCAGGCTTTTGATGCCGGCCTTGGACGCGAGTGCACCCGTCAGGAACGGGAGGAACGCAGAACCGGCTTGGCCAAAGCCCGCGATCCACCCGATGCAGCCGGTGAGCAACCACGGCGGGAGGACGTGCGCGGCGTGGTTCATGACAATCGGGTAGATGGGCCCGAGGAGGACGCCAACGAACGAGACCGCGATACCACTGCCGATAAGGGACGGGACGAGCCAGACGACTAGCTCAAGGCTGTGAGTGGGCAGAAGGAGTGAGTGAACGTGTAAGAGGAAACTTCAAGAGAACCATCTACCCGACTGCGATGATGCCGTAGAGGTATACAGCGCGACGTTCGCCGATCTATGCATTCAGACGTCAGAAATAGAAATGTGCATCATGCTCGTCACGCCGACATACCTTGTGGTTAACCCACATTAATCCGATGCGACCGACGGTGAGGCCTAGCCATCAATGGGTCAGTCTTCTCGTACTGTGCTGAAGAGCAGGATATGCGTGCTGACCGCCGAAGAAACCGGAAGAGATATAACCAGACGACGCGCCTCCGCCACGCAGATCACGGACGTATCTTACTATCCAGCCCCCAAGGGTGACTTGCACACCGATGTAGATGAGGATAAAGAAAGCAAGGAGATGGACGGCACGGAGACGGAATATTTGCTTATACCGGTTACTTCCATTGCCTTCGTTCTCCTGATCATGAACAGGAGCCTGACCGATCTCCGCAAGGCTCGCTGAGGAGGTAGGTGTATTAGCTCACTCTGCTGCAGCAATGACGACGCTCTTCGACTCACTGTCCTGGTCCTTGAACCGGAATACCGCGATCAGAAGGATGGTGTTGGAAACCGAGATACCCAGGGATACGAGGTAGTGGAACGACCAGTGGTGCATTTGTGCAAACTGCGTCGCAATGAGAGGGGCCGAGAACGCCCCCAGCCCGTAGACGGCATGAAGGATGCTCATCTTCGTAGAGGTGTTCTCCTTCATGGACGCGACATATCCGTTCGCACCCGCGTCTTGGAGCGCTATGCCGAAGCCGTTCGCAAAGTAGCCCAACACGAAGACTGGGAACGGCGGGGCGGGGGCCTCCAGCACGTATCCAATGATCTGGAATACTGATCCTAGTACCGGAAGCTCGGTCAAGGGTACTACAGCCGGGTCGTGACTGGAGCATACCGATGATCATGACCTGAAAGAAAATTATAAGACGGTCTCGCATGGTCAATACTAGCAGGATGAGACTCACTTTGCCGAAGCCCAGACGGCTCATCAACCACACATTTGCCGCGGCAGCGGTGATAAACCCCTGTTATAGTACGCTCGAGTCTGGGAATGCATTAGAGCCACAGTCCGCTTACGAGGCAGCTGAAGACGAAAATCAAGGACACCAATGCGAAGCCGACCTATTACACGACCACATTAGGTGCTTATGAATCCAAGAAAAGGCAGCGAGTGGCATACATTGTAGACCGACTGTATCCGCGGGAGGAGAGGACCAGTGGTACCGTCGTTCCATCCAGCGAGAAAGAGCGTCCAGCAAAGGGTAGCGAACTGGAGCTGGGCTTTGCGGCGAGACACAGGAGTCGATGCTGAGACAGCAGTGGAAGGAGGTTCGCCCGACGGCGTGTCCGAGTCGTTGGTTACCCCCATTTCGAGGGGGGCTCCCGTCGCCTTCGCACCCGCACCTGGTTGTGTTGCGGCAGGGCTCGTCGCAGCCAGAGCATCAGGACGGTCGGACGAGCGAGATGCTCGGGTAAGCACTTTTCCGAGCTCGATCTCTTGGACCATCCTGGGGTCGTTTTAGAAGGTAGGGAGTGGTCCAGTGTGGCGTCGCACCAAATTGAAGTACTCAGGGAGAATGCAGCCTCTGTGTGGAGGCGAGTCGTGGGCGGGGTGTTTCTCGTTGACGGACCTCCCTTCTCTTCTTTTATGGGCGTCGTCTGAAGGCCTGCTTCCAAACGACAAATATGTTCCACGGCTTGGCCGCCGTGCAAACGTGGAAGGTAGGCGAACCTGCCCGGAAAATACTCGGCGATATAACGTTCCCGGCTACCGAATAAGCGCCCACATATCGGTCAAGTTACCACCAGTGGGCGGTACTTTAACGCACAAGAATCACACCGAACTTCAAGGGGCTGTCCTTTCAACTTCGAAGTTGGCCGAAGATAGTGAACTGCCGTGCACGGCCTCGACAACATTGAATTGAATATACGGATGATGAACATTCATAAAACGTCGTGTAGCTATTATCGAAATACGCAAAAAAATGATTCACATTACGCTGCTTTCAGTAGTTTCGCGTGTTGAATGCCTCAATGATCCCCGTATATGCAGGCTTCTTTACGAAGTTCTACTCCAACGTGTCAGCGCCTGAACCATGACTCGGGCGTCGCATAGAGTTCACGCCGGAGCGGAGATTACTAAACGCACCTCGTCCCATGGACAAGCGTCCCCTGACCAGCGAAAGTGCCAGGTATCCACGAGTACTGCTACAATGACTCTAGTCAGTCGCTCGATCTAGTATCTACTGCCTTTCCTCGAAGCCGATCCGTACCTTGTCCGTGAAGTCCCACAGCGTTGCAAGCGCCGATGACCGTCTCGTAGTCCTTCTGTTGCGCGACACCGGCAGCATCGGGCGGGGGTGCCGCGAAGCGGATGTCGAGTTCCGTGATTGCGACCTCGAGTTCGAGCGCAACGAACTCCTCGGTGGTCTGCTGCAACGTAGGCGGGACGCCACCGACTTCAAAGTGGCTCTGTAGGCCGACACCGTCGATGGGTACACCGTCGGCCTGGAGCTGCTTGATGAGGTTCTTAAGCGCGGTCGGCTTCGCTCCTACAATAATCAAAGAATGGACGCAGTAGATTAGAACGAAGAGGGCTCACCGATGCCTTCGATGTCGAAGTCGTTGATGTATAGTTAAGCTTTAGGGTCGGCCGCACGGGCAGCGTAGAGTGCGAGCGGGATATAGGTCGTATTCAACGTGTCGAAGAATATATCCGAGCGATATGTGCCATCATCGTTGAACGCCTCTAGAATCCTGCGTTGGCGTTGAGGCGTGTCAAAGCAATAAGTACATACCATTGATGACGTTCCAGGTATCTAAGGACGACAAGACACAGGGTCAGCCACCACAAGAAACGGGGTATTCCGATACGTACAACTGAACGGTCAAGTGAGTACTAGGACAGGAATATTAGCGGAAGAAGGAACGTACACATGACCCTTATAATGATGGACCAGGTTGAAACAATGGCGCGAAACGATAAACGCAAGGTCCGGCTTCCTCGAGCTCGGTAGCAAACTACGAAAAAGTCAGGCACGCGCGACAAAAACGGTCAACAGAGAACCCTGTGAATTATACCCATTTCATAACGTTTGCGGCAGTCACTTGTCTGAACTCTGCATCGTCCTTCAGGATATTGAAGTACGTCGTGTCGTTCCATTGATCACTGTTAGTCGCCGTGCCAAGGTACAGCTTCCCGGCCCTCTTCGCAGCGAGGTTCAGCCCAGATTTGGAATTGAACTGGCTGCCATCGGAAGTTGCAGGGAGCCCTAGCGCGCCCCAGAGCATAGCGCTAAGCGGAAACAACCAGAAAATGCGAGAGGGAGAACATGCTCGGCCAGTACGGCGACTTCAGGTGTGCCCGACGGCTAAGGATGCCGCTGCAAAGTCTTTTCTACCACGCCGCCGAGCCAATTCGATCGTTGTCGGGCCGCTTGCGACGTCCGCACCACGGTCTTCGGTCTTTTTAGAGGCCAATAAAACGTGGGAAGGATTCACAAGGGATGTCGTCCTCATTGGTCACAAGGTGTGGCTTTGATTGACCGGACTCCGAGGCTGGCATATGAGCCGGCGATACAACGTTACGAGTTCAGTGCTTTCTGGCAGTGCTCAGCAGCAGGAGAGAAGCCGAGTCAACGCACGGCTGGGCAGCCTGTGTGGACTCGGTCTTTCTAGTTCGATCTACTCGAATCTTCGTGGTTGATCGGTTCTTGCCCATATGACATCGCAAGAGACGCAAGAGGCGTATGCGGCCGCATCCCTTGTTTTAACTGGGATGTTTTACTCCGTAAGAAGCGCAGAATTGAAAGTTTACGTTGAGTCCGACTCGATCAAGCTATATTCGGCCGAACACCTTTAACTTTAACACAGTTAATTTCCATTCAAGGGAACGGCTTGGTCTGTGATTCAGCGCCATATCTTGTCTTGTAGCTTCCGTGACTTATTCAAATTGGCGTCGGACTTTTGTACGCCTACTTCCAAGTTGAAATGGCTTATGATGCCATAGTCCGAGTCTGTTAGACTTCGAGTGCCATAAGCACCAACCCCATGAAACCTATATTCCTTTGCCTGCACAGTTTGTATGGTGGCCGACTAGCTCAGTTGGTTAGAGCGTGGTGCTAATATTGTGATTACGCCAAGGTCGTCGGTTCGATCCCGGCGTTGGCCAGCCTTTTGCTCTCCTGTCACTGTGTTTCGCAGCGGTGGCGACATCAAAGGGACACAGCCGAGCACACTTCTCGTTCAAACTACCACTATTGTCCTCCATACATACCTTATGTCTTTTTGTATCTTCTGAACACACGTACTACTCATCTCTGGAACAAACAACCTTCTCTACTGCGCTCCACGAACTCAGGCAACGCGCAGCAGTTGCGCGGACACCGGTACGGACACCTTGACACTTGGCGACGAACAGCACAACCATGGCACTCGAGCGGAAGCGTTCTATGACTCCAGACTACTCCGGCCAACCTGCATCCACTGCGTCGACGTCCTCAGCGCGGGCGAGGTACTCTGCCAACACTCGCTCACCAGTCTATGCCAACTATCGCAGCGAGTCTCCTCCCGCCTCCGCTTACTTTTCGCACTTCTCCGGAGACCACCATGACGAGCTGCAGCCTACTATTCCTGATGCCAGCGCGCACTTCGCGTACAGTACGACGCTCAGGCGGCACACGCTAGAGGGGCCCTTAGGACTCCCTCACCAACCCCCTGGGTCTGCGATTTCAACCTTGGGCGAACTCCGCGTGGTCGTGGAGACGGAGGGCGCGAAGGGCCTTTGGGAGCGGACAATAGGCAGGCTCATTGCCGCGTTCACTCAGGGGGACCAGTACGAGCGGCTTCCAACGCATAGAGATGTGCCCGCGAGCCAGGAGAGCGCGTCTGCGCGGTTCGCGCACACGTCAGTCCAGGTGCGCCGCTTTTTGTTCGTCTGACCCCCATTCTTACTGTCCGAAGGACACCGTCGCGCACTATGGCACGTCCGCGACGGACGGCCTGTCTTCAAGACGAGTACAAGAGCTCCTGGGCGCACATGGCTACAACGAGTTCACTGTATCGACGCCAGAGCCCCTCCTCATCAAGTTCGCGAAGACGATATACGAGAATCCGCTAATACTGTTGCTTTGCGGCAGCGCTGCTGTCAGTGCTGCCATGGGCAATATCGATGATTCTGTTAGCATAACGGTCGCGGTGCTAATTGTATTAACCGGTGAGCATCCCTTCGCATTGCGCTCGACAAAGGGCACAGTTCCGCCGTTGGGTTCTATATTCCGCGCGAGTCTATTTCTATGGACTGCCCCGTTGTGCGCTCCGTCGGGGTTTTCCCCGTTTCGGCGCGCGACGGGTATTCTTAGCCTGCCGTACATCGGACGCCCGAGCGCGCAGCCATGTTTTCTCCAGAGCCGCTCTATAGCACTCAACTGACTGCTCGTAGTGGGCTTCGTACAGGAGCAACGGTCTGAGAAGAGCTTAGAGGCGCTGAATAAGCTCGTCCCACATCACTGTCATCTCATACGGTACGTCGCCAGCAGCCTGGTCGCAGCACCGACGCGCTCATCCGGTGCCCACAGCGATGGAAAGCCCCTGCACATGCTCGCAAACGAGCTCGTACCAGGAGACATCGTCACGTTCACGACGGGTGACCGTGTGCCCGCGGACGTTCGGCTCATTTCTGCTGTGGACCTTGAGATCGACGAGAGCAGTCTCACCGGCGAGACGACCACACGACGGAAGGACACGGAGACCTGCACTCCAGTGAATGTCGGGAACGGGTACGCGAACGGGCACGGCAACGGTTATGTGCCGCCCGGAGAGCCTGTAGCTCTGGCAGAACGCTCGTGCATTGCATATATGGGCACGTTGGTTCGAAATGGTGAGTTTAGATTTTCACGGATGACCAAGCTACTATTTGACCTTTGCTACAGGCAGGGGCGCTGGGGTCGTGATCTCCACCGGCACACTAACGGAGTTTGGGATGATATTTTCCATGATGCAAGAGGTATGTACCGGGGAGAGCGGCCGGGCGAGCCACTCTAACCGTTATCGCAGGTCGAAGAGAAGCGGACACCTTTGCAGCTCAGCATGGACGAGCTCGCAAAGAACCTCTCCTTCATCTCGTTCGGCATCATTGGCGTTATATGCATCATCGGCGTCATCCAGAAGCGGTCCTGGCTCGACATGTTCACCATCGGAGGTGCGCCCACCATGCGCTCCCCACCGACCCGTCGAGACACACGGCTGATCACTAACGTGGGCGAAGCACAGTATCGCTGGCCGTCGCGGCGATACCGGAAGGGTTGCCCATCGTCACCACGGTGACGCTCGCGCTAGGGGTGCTGCGCATGTCGAAGCGCAAGGCTATCGTGAAGAAGCTTCATTCGGTCGAGGCCCTAGGCTCCGTCTCGGTGATCTGCTCGGACAAGACTGGTCTGTTCCCCGCCCTGATTGGTCGGGCTGGCAGCTGACAGCGGTGCTTATAGGAACCCTCACGAAGAACGAACAAACGGTCACGGAAGTGTACTCGGTCGACGAGACCATCACGCTCGACCCATCCTCGCCCACCGCACTCAACGTGCAGCTTAACCCGTCTCTGCGCAAAACGCTCGTCATCGGCTCGTTGTGCAACAACGCCGTACGGAATGAGGAGGGAGAATATGCTGGGCAGTCGACTGACGTCGCTCTGCTGAACGTACTGCCTCTCTTCGGTCTGACCGACCAGCGACCAGTATGCCCTTCACTTTCCTCTCCTCGGATTCACCCCGCTGACACCCTCGCACAGGAATTCACCCGGCATTCAGAGCTGCCCTTCAACTCGGAGCGCAAGTACATGGCAGTCAGCGGCTCTCACGGATCGTTGTCGTCTCTCCCGAACGGACTGGCCGCCAATGGCGCCCAGCGGGAAATGTATTATATCAAGGGCTCTATCGACGCGATCCTCGACCGGTGCAAGTTCTACTACGTCTCGGACGACTCCACCCCGGCCCTCGACGCGAACACGCGCAACGTCATTCTCACAAAGGCGCAATCCACCGCGTCGCGCGGGCTGCGCGTCATCGCCCTTGCCTACGGCTACGGCGCTGTCGAGACACCTACCCCCTCCGCGCCGCCCTCCCACGCTGCCAGCCGCGCAGGCACCCCGAGCGGCGGTCTGGACAGGGAGAAGACGAACCTCGTGTTCGTCGGGTTCCAGGCGATGCTCGACCCGCCCCGGAAGGGGGTCGCGGACGCGATCAGCCTGCTGCAGTCTGGCGGCGTGCAGATCGTGATGATCACCGGGGACGCGGAGGAGACGGCATTGTCGATCGCGCGCGCTCTGGGCCTGCGGGTGGGCGCGGGGAGCAGCGGGTGTCTGACGGGCCAGGCGATCGACAGGATGAGCAAGCAGCAGCTGAGGGAGGTCGTCGGCGGCGTGAGCGTGTTCGCGCGGACGACGCCAAAGCATAAGATGGCGATCGTGGAGGCGTTCCAGTCTCGCGGCGCGGTGGTCGCTATGACCGGGGATGGAGGTGCGCGACCTTGTTCATTATGTTTTGAGTGTTTGGTTTATGCTCATGATGATCCAGTGAACGACGCTCCTGCGCTGAAGATGGCTGACATTGGCGTCTCGATGGGCAAGAGCGGTACCGATGTGGCCAAGGAAGCGGCCGACGTCATCCTCGTTGACGATAATTTCACCACCATCTTGCCCGCGGTCGAGGAAGGTACGTCATTAGTACTCCTCTGTAGTTCGAACAAGGGGAAGTTGATCGTTGTTTGTGAAGGAAAATCTATTTTCCACAACATCCAAAATTTCCTTTCCTTCCAGCTCAGCACAGCGTGTGCTGCGCTGACGCTGATCACGCTCAGCACCTTCTTCGGCCTGAGCAACCCCTTGAATGCGATGCAGATCCTTTTCATCAACATCCTCATGGACGGTCAGTGTCCCCACACCACCCCGTGTTTCTCCTACCCGGGAAATTCATAGGCTGTTTACAGGCCCCCCAAGCCAGTCGCTCGGCGTCGATCCTGTCGATCCGCAAGTCATGCGTCGACCTCCGAGGAAGAAGGACGCGCCGATCATCAGTCAACGCCTCATCTACCGCGTGCTCTTCTCCGCGTCGATCATCGTCATCGGGACGCTGTTCGTCTACATCTATGCTCTCGCGGATGACCAGGGCATGACAAGACGGGAACAGACCATGGTACGCTCCCCATCTTTCTGTGACTGCAAGGGAGTAGTCCTGACGTCACTGTCCGCAGACGTTCACCTGCTTCGTGTTCCTCGATCTCGTGTCCGCAGTGCAGAATCGCGGTCTCGGCTGCGGCCTGTTCCAAAACCGGATGCTCGTCACGACCGTGTCGACGTCGTTCGTCGTCCAGCTCGCGCTCATCTACGTGCCGTTCCTGCAGAGCATTTTCCAGACGGAGGCCTTGGGCACGCCCGACCTGTTTACGCTTCTAGCGCTAGGGGCGGTGTCCGCGGCGCTGCACGAGGCGCGGCGCACGTACGAGCGGAAGCTGAACGCGACGATCACGTTCTCCAGCTCAGTGGAGGAGTTGGCATGATTGTAGATGCAGTAGATGGGACGCATGTATAGAGTTAGGTTAATATCTTCCCCACCACCCCAGTGGTAACTCTACAAACTACGTTGGAGAAGGATCTGCAAGACTTGCAAATGGCTTGCGAAGCCAGTTCTGAGACGTCTTCGTCCTGTGTAGACGTATGTGGAAATGCCTTATCATGCCGTCTCAACTCCATGCTCTACTGCAGGTACGCAAGCAGCAAAACAATGGCCAACGCCGGGATCGAACCGACGACCTTGGCGTAATCGAATATATTAGCACCACGCTCTAACCAGCTGAGCTAGTCGGCCGGTATTTGCCGATGCCGCGTGCCGCACCTGACTAAATATGGTAATACCGATACCAGTCCGCTTGAAGAGTGGCCGAGTTGACCGACATCCTTCATCCTCTTCCGACTCAAGTTTTCTCATCGGTCTTCCCAATGACGCCACGCAACACACATAATCACCTAAAGCTTGGTATAACGCTGTGGGTGCCGATATATATCTTATTCGACTTGCTCCAGTTTCGATGGTCCAGATTAAAACACGCCGCGAAGCAGAAATCTGAAGCTAAGTAATGGCACTAATCACTAACGGTTCATTACCCCGCCAGCAGGTGTACAGGGGATACAGCTCGTGTCCTCCCTCAACAGTCAATACCTACAAACGGTCTAGATTACCCTCGGGCCGATATTTGCTGCCAGTCGTTCTTCTGCCAGGAGGTTTTGTGCGGATGTATCGCCGTTGCAGTCTGTCCTACCAGCTGCCCCTTCGGAACACATCCGACTAGCCTTTTTTCTCATTCACCGCTCGGTCCGACCTGTCAAGCTGCAAGCCAGCGAATTCTATGTTTCCCGTAAGTCTTCTCCCGAACACGTAACCGACGACTTGACTACAAATCAGGAAGCGCGGCGGAGGTCGGTCAGGTCGACTACCCCACGCCCGCGCCGACACAACTCCAATGGGCCGACTATGCACGACAAACACGCGCGTGTTAGAACGCGGATAACTCCCCTCCCATCGCACATCCGTGGGGTTAGACAAACGCCGTTGCCTTATCGCGTACTGCCTCCGAGCCGCCGCCTCGTGTTAGTCACTTTCCGCCAGCCAGTCTTCCGCATGCCTGACAGTACATAAGGGCAAGCCTTACGCCTACCGCATTCAACTGCTTTCACACTCACACCTCTAACGCCCAACCTCAAGTCTGCGACTTGCCTACTTCGACCATTGACCACAGTACCTGCCACCACACACCTGCATATACAGTACGCAGTCTTCGACCCATCGCGTTTGGTCCATGACTTACGATGCACATAGATGTCCGCAACCATTGCCACCGCACCCACCATCACCCCTCTCGCCATCCCGAGCAAGTCGCGTCCGGACGCAATCTCGACGTACCCCTCGAGCCCGCTCAAGGTGTTCCCGCCCCCAGCACCCACCATCCGCCGCCCGCTCCGTGAGCGCTGCGGCATAACCCTCACTCTGCATATCGACACGCCTTCCCTCTCTTTCAAGCCGTCGAAAGTGCCCGGGCCGTGGTCCCCGAAGGGCCACATCCAACCCCACCGCAACCACCTCCCCCGCAGGCGGAACCCGAAGCCGTGCTTCGTAAGCGTTCAGGAGAAGCAGGCCCCCGCAGTGGCCGAGCACCGGAAACGGGCCCCCTCCCCCGCCGCTGAAACCCAGCCCGCACCCACGGCCGCCCCCGCGGCGGACACCACCCCTGCCTACGCGTTCAACCCTCCGACCGAGGAGCCCCGTCTACAGGCTATCATCCCCGCCCTCTGGGTCGCCTTCGCCCACGACACAGACCGGTCATACGAGGACGGGTTCACGCACATCGTCGAGATCTCTTACGACGGCGCGCCCGGGTCCTCGGAACGCTCCTGGGACAGCAAGGCGCAGCGTCTCCACCTCGCCCTCCCGAAGCCGGCCCGCAAGCCTGAGGGCCGTGCCGCGCTCGCTCTCGGGGACGCACAGCTCCGGGCGGCGCGGGACTTCGTCGCGGAGTGCCTCCCGCAGAGCATCGCGTCGCTGCCGGAGCAGAGCTCCGTGCGGGTGCTCATCGTGACGCCGCAGGGCCGGCCGACGGACGCGATGTGCGTCGTCGGGTGCTACCTCGCGTTCGTGGCGGGGCAGAGCGCGGACGCGATCCTGCGCTGCATCGACGAGGAGGACAGCGTGCTGAGCGCATGGAAGGGCGAGGTCTCGGGCGACGAGACGGACCGCATCGAGAAGATCGCGCGCTCGTGGTCGTGGCTCTCCGCCGTCGCGTGCCGGTAGAGCTGAGGCCAGCATGTTGGAGACGCGCCGAACGCACCTTGTTGTATATTATCTCCACCCCCCACCTGTATCCATATCTCGCACATTAGCACTATCGTTATTGGATCATTTGCGCACGAAATTGAACTAAATTTGAATCGAATGCCGGCCTATTGCGAGACCTGGGTTTGAGCGGCACTTCTCCCTTAACAAATATATGATGCATCCTGAGATGCGCTGTGGGTCTACGTGATATCTGTTTTGACAGAAGTACACTTGAGAAGCTTACGACGTGGCCGGCACAACAGCAACGTGCTTCGGGATACGGGAAGGCCTCCGCGCTTGTGGAGATTGTAGAGACGCTTAGCCGAAATGAACAGAGGACGTGAGTAAATGACGAGACGGAAATGTCATTGTGGTACCCCGGCATTACTCCTCGGTGTTCAAATGTCCTTGGCGATCGATCTTTGTTGCGATTATCCGACGGCGACCGAGGAAGGAATTCGATTAAGCAAGACGACAGCAGGTGATATTGATACATGCAAGGTGGCGCGTTCGTTAGCAGTAGCGTACAGGGTATAGCCGATGCGGGCCGGTTCCAGGAGCGATTAGACAGTGAGTCGTAAAGTAGCATTTTGAGCAATGATTTCGGGGGAGGTGAGCGGCCGGAGCGCGCGAATGGCAGCAAGACGAAGTTCCTGGAGTTCGAGATGAAGCACGGATCGACGGGCACGGGGGGTGCGGACGTACTTCGAAACTATGTTGCTCATATGGCGGCATGCTGTTCACACTCTGCAAACTATCCGGATAGCTTTGCGGGGCAGCAGATACGGAAGGGAGGAGGGAAGCTAGACCGATCGACAATTTCAGGACAAAGGGGGAGGGGGCTCTTGGTCGAATACCACTTACGTCGTTGCGGCTGCGGCACATCCGCGAACTTCTTTCCCGCCTTGTACGCCTCAAATCGCAGCTCCTGAAAAAAGTCTATCGAGGCACAGATACCAACCAAGTCACGGGACATACCTCCGGGGAGGACTGGGCGTACGCTTGCTGGGCTACCAACGACTGGAACAGTGTCTCGCTCCCATACTCTTGCACTTTCGTGGGCACAAATGCTTGGGCGAGTAGATTGGGTCCGGTCATCGACGTTGAAGGCGTCAGCACCCCCGCGACGCCGTTTGTAAGGCCCTCCGCCTCGGACAAGGGCTCGAAGAGTGGCGGGAGCCCCAGTGCTGCTCGCTGTTGCCGGTCTGTTGGCGTAGGAGGCACAGGGGGTGGTGGGCGCCCAGTCGTTGTGTATGCATGAAGGTAGTCTCGATATCGCCGTTCCTGGTAAGTTAGAAAGTAGGGTAGAGGCGGCGAAATGGAAGGACGGGAAGACGTTATACCTCAAAGCTCTCATCCTTGTCTCCTCGTACAGCGGGCACATTCATATACACAATACGTCTCCCTGGAACGGACATGGCGCATTCAGTATGCTCACCTTCAAAATAATGCAAAAGCGGGTATGGTAAGCTGTGTGTCGCAGTCCAGAGGTGGGGACAAGGAGTTCGAGTTGAAGTGCGGTCATAATGAGATGGAGTAGGGGTGCAACACCCCAACAATAATGGCCAATCAGCTCTATGTATGGCCGACTAGCTCAGTTGGTTAGAGCGTGGTGCTAATATCTTGATTACGCCAAGGTCGTCGGTTCGACCCCGGCGTTGGCCAATGCTTTTGGCGTTCTACTCGGCAATGTTCTTCAGGTCGCTCCGAACCATGCTCGCCTCTCCCTCCTTTCTCGTAACCGCTCTACTCCACCGACCTGCTTGTCTTTTTCTCAGTAGGCTTACTGGCACATCACTCCTCTAAAGTGAGTACTGGCGGAGGTACCCTGTACGTATACACCCCGTCGAAAATATTCGATTTCATTGGGTGTCCAGTCTTTCCCTCTCTCTCTCTCTCTCTCTCTCTCTCTCTCTCTCTCTCTCTCTCTCTCTCTCTCTCTCTCTCTCTCTCGTCTCTCTCTCTCTCTCTTTTCGCTGTGTGCTATGCTCCTTCTTATGGTCTGAACATATTGCTTCGCTGACTCCCTGTGGACCTCAACCGCCGGAATTGTTGCCGCCGTAAGAAGGCGAAACGCTTCAAGCAATCGGTGGGAAAGCCATGCCGTAACCATTATGATTTGTCCGCACGCTTGTATTACTGCGCGCCACCACGCCGGCTTCTCGTCAATCCTCCAAATGGTATGCCGCCCTTCATGTGGCAATAGCAAGCTCGTCCAGTTCCCAGCGCGCCCAGAAGACCCTACCACGAGCCCCGCCAGGAACTCTGAGGAGAATGTTTGGTGTTTCGACGAGGCCACCCGGCGACAGCGCGGCGCTGAGGATGAGGCTATATTTTGTTTTCGGGACAGGCCCTTCCAGTCGCATACAAGTCACCGAGATGGCAAGCCGCCTCGACCAATCGGGACGGTCGTCAGTTCAATGCGGGCTTTCATTACGGGTCTGATCGGAAACACCCGTACGACCGCTTAACCACGACGCCAGGCCCACGAAACAACGACGCTCTGGAGTGCGTTGTGCCCCCGTTTCGGTTATGGTAAAACGCGCCCGCCCCTGGCGGAGGGCGCGAGCTCCATTAGAGGCGTTCCATGATTAGCGTCGTCCTGCCAGGCAGCGTTACGGCGGGCTTGGGAGCAGGCCGAGACGATTCGGCCGCTCCCACAGGTATAAGAAGTCCGCACGTTCTCACTCCGCTCGCAGGCCCTTTCTTATCGACCCCTCCCCGACCAACCGCTATGGAACCCCTGCTGCTGACGGTCGTCCTCGGTGGACTTGCGCTCGTTTACTCTATCTATCGATTTTTGACTCGGCCGTCGGTGGCTAGCATTCCTGGCCCGGAGTCAACGTCATTCTGGCTCGGTACGTTATCTTCGCGTACATTCGCGAACGGCTTCTCCGCATGGCGATGGTGGTTGACAGGCGAATCTTGTAGGGCATCTTCCCGAACTTTTTCAGGAACAGGCCGGCGAGACGGACTTCAAGTGGCAGGAGCAATATGGC